TCACTGTTAGGAAGTTTCTCCTTAGTTTTAGGTTGCTTCTCTCTGTTCAGTTTCCATCCATTGCTTCTTGTTTGCATTCTGCTTCTTTGGAAAATACATTGTCCCTCTTTCTTTGTGGCAGCCCCTTAAAAGCCTGTTGCCTATCACCCTCTTGAGTAAAGCATGTGAGCCATTTCCTCCTTTCAGTGGTCCATGAAAGTACATCTATAGTATGCAGATAATAAAGTCAAAAAAGGTGAACATTTTTACAGAACTATAGATAAGTTGAGGCTGGGTGACAAGGAATGGCTGGGAGGAGAGGGGCCAGGTGAGGCACTCCTTGATGTGAGTGACATTGAGTTGGCCATGCCCACCCAGTCACATGACCACCAAGCCATGCCCACCCAGTCACATGACCACCAAGCATGCCCACCCAGTCACATGACCACTAAGCCACACCCACCCAGTCACATGACCACCAAGCCATGCCCACCAAATAAGCCATGCCCACAGAACCGGTAGTAAAAAAATTTGAATTCTACCACTGGATCAATGGCAGCAAATTTGGGATAGGAATAAAAACATTACATTAGAAACATCCTACAAAGAAAACCTGTTTAAGATGTTTTACAGATGGCATCTCCCACCTACCTGGTTAGCCAAAATGTATAGCTCTCAATCACCTATATACTGGAAATGTTTGAAAAAAGGGGGCATCTATTATCATATGTGGTGGGAGTGCAAGAAAATACAATAATTTTGGCACAAAATATGGCAATGGTTAGAAGAAATGTTGGACCTAAAAATAAATTATACACCAGAAATGTTTTTATTGGGAATAATAAATGAGAATTTCAAAAAAGCAGATATATACCTAATCACTCATGTTATTACAGCTGCAAAATTATCAATTGCCCAAACATGGAAGCTAACAGGAATATCGAACAATGAAGCAATAATAGAAAAAATAATTCAGTGGGCTGAGTTAGATAGTATGACATTAGAACTGAAAGAGTGGGACACTTCAGAATTCTATGCAATATGGGAAATTTTTTATAAATGGAGGGATATGAAAGGAAGTCTAAAAAATGTGAAATAGAATTTAAGAAGAGATTATATTACAACATAATGTCTAAGATAGAAATTGATACAAAGATTACAATGTAAATATATATATATAGCCTGATGATGGCAGATGAGATTCTGCCAAAATGTTGCTACAACTTTAAAAGCACAACTACAATGACGTGGGAAAATACCCGAACAAAGCTGAATACTGTGTGTGTGTGTGTGTGTGTGTGTGTGTGTGTGTGTGTATTTACTGTTTGATGATATTTTGCTCATATAGCAGTGTAAAGACTGAGATATATGTCAAAAAAATCACTACGTTCAATGTTTTTAAAAGCTAATTTTCAATAAAAAATTATTTTAAAAAGTTTGTTTTTAACTTCTGGAGTACTTATTTGAGACTGAATAAGGATTCAATTGGAAGCAGAATGAAGGGTGCATAGAGTAGCATAAAGAAATGTAATGATGGGAGGTAGCAGGAAAATGTATCCATTTTATCCTTGTGGCCTCCAAATATTAAACTATTGCTACTATAGAACTATTTAATATATACTTTTTATTTGATTACATTATTAACTCTGATCTCAGCAAAGTTGATAACCATTAACAAGCTTTTCGTTTTGCCAAATTGTTGTAGAACTGATATGATGAATTCAATGAATACAGTACCGAGTGGTAAACATCAAATCTTGATGCGAACTAGCTTTGATTTTTTTTTATCCCTTTATAATGGGTGGCTTGGCAGAGAAACCAGTAAGAACTGTACGAGAAAGGCATTGCTACAAATACATTATGACTAGCAGTTATTGATAATCTAATCATCCATTAATTTCTCTAAGCTGTCTTAACAGTAACTAAATGGCAGCTAGTGCCATGGAAACAAACAACTGTGGTTCAAAAGTGCAGTTCTATGGATCTAGTATGAAGTTATTGATGGAAAAACTTTTTAAGTGATTCAGTATCTTGTTGCCTTTCTGGAAGCTCTAACCTGTGGGAACTGAAGGAGACAATACCGTTTTCATCATGAGATAAGAAGTGTTGTAGATGAAAAGTCCTAGTTTAGCAACGTTGCTAGCAATAACCAGGCAGATGCTCATGAAAAATAGACAGTGAGGACAGGAAAGTGACAGCTATTTTTTATTACATCTATTGACTGAAGCGTTGAACTCTGAAGGTTTCCCAGAAAAATGAGAGGGACCATAGTTCAATCAACAACCATGTTCTTCAAAATTCTCAAGTGCAATTTCAGGCAGTTCCAGTATAAAAGAGCTCTGAGAATGCTTCAAGAATGGTTTGAAAGAAATGTTATGAAATGCATTAGAGCGAAAGCATAAGCATCTCTTTAAAGCAGCTGTCTCTTTTTTTTCCAGAATAATGACTGGAAGCCTAACAAAAGAAACAACTACTAGAAATAGATGCTATGCTTGCACTCTCATGTATTTGAAAACATTGGGATCATTTAGAAAGATGCACAGTCCTAATTTAGAAAAGCCTATTCTGTACCTGAAATCCTAGATAAAACCTGGACATGGTACAGAGGCAGCTGCATATATTTCATAACAAAAGTCTATTGTCAGTACATTTATCTAACCATTAAAACGAAAGAGAAATTTAAGTTAGATATAACAATTGCCTGCCATATTTTGTGATGTGTTCCTTCCCTGCTCAGTGATATGAGTCCTTGATTGTGTGCTGTTTTTTCCCCCTATTGCTTTCTCAGTTTTCTCGTATTCTAGTGGATCGAGAGATGCTCTTCACTGAAGCTTATTTGCATTATTGGAAGCCTACTGTGATGTGGAATGGGCCCATGTGGAATGGACTTCATCATTGGTTCAAATACTATTCCATGATGTGACTTAATTGGATTTGTCTTAGCATTTTTTGTGAATATAATCATTGTGATTTATAAATTGTACTTTCTGGCTTAACATTCAGGGTGTGAAGCCAGCCACTTTGGCTTATTCACAAAAATGTGATTAATGTAAAATTCAGCTTTGTGCAATATGTACAAATCTAGCTGCTATATACAGTATGGTGTGAAGCTGTTTCCCTCTTCTTTCGCCTTTGACAATATTGTTGGTAGCATAGAGCTTATGGTAAGGTTGTCATATACTAGCTGCAAAAATCCTGACAACCTCTAGATGGCTGCAAAGAGATGTAGAATATTCTAATATTTTGCAGTCCTCTTCTGGTCATTTAGATCTTTGCAGCCCAAATATGAAGGGTCCAGCTTGTAGAAAAGCTTGAATATTGTTTGGTGTTCTAATATGTTGACATTTTTGTAATCATGCAGTTTGGGTGAGCTATCATTTGGCATTGTTTCGGTACCTATGAAGCTAGGTGAACAGGAAAGGATGTGTACTTAAATATTTGAAACAATCTTTTGTGGATTTTAGTCCATGTAGCATGGCGCTGTTTTTTCTCTCAGATCTCAACTGAAAATGGCAGATTGACGTGTCAGTGAGAAATGGCTTTACTAGTTAGCACTGCAGGTAGGTGAGACATTTTAATGGAAAAAAAATTGCCTTACATGAACTCATTGTAATTAGAAAATAAGCATAGCAAAGAGGGAGGACATATACAGTTACTTCCTGGTGTACTGCCTCTTTAGTTTTAAAAATGCTTCATTCCAAAGCAGTGCTTTAAAAATAACAATAGAATACCTGAAACTTTAGGAGCAGTTCTCTCCTCCCATTTTCAAACTGGACCACCTTATTCTGTTTGATGGCAAGTTTAGGCCTTCCTGCACTACAAAGTAAAATAACAGCACTCCGGATCGCATATGGAAACATAACATTATTTTAATTGTAACTGATCACCAAGATAAAGACCAGCAAAGTTTAAGCATATCCATATATCTGATACACAAAACTTTTTAATTGTGATGTAGTGAGGAAGAAGAATCAGTTTCTATCTGATGTAGCTTACACCACTTTCTTTGGACACTACCACTTTCTTACCACCTCCTTTCAGCCACAGGCTAATTAAATTTATGGCTGGTACAACTCAGAAGTAGCCTTGCAAAAGAAGCTGACCATTTTCCCTCCTGGTGATATCTGAGCTTGTTTTCATATCATCTTTTGTTTGGAGCATGACTTCCTAAATTAATGCATCCTGAAATAGTTTTCTTGTGAGCAAGATGTTGTTTTTTTCTTTCTTTCTTTAGTAGTGTGAGAAGTTCTTTTGATTAAACACTGAAGGGAAGATTCAAGCGTGTTCGCAAATAGATGCAATTTAAGTATAAGATTAGCACATACAAACATCAAATTGCTTTCTCACTGTAAAACAGCCTTCCAGCTTCAAGAGTGGGAAATCATTCTTCAAATAGTGGGTTGGCTGAAATTCTCACAGTGTAACTGTGAAATGCACACTTTATTTTTATCTTCTGTCTGCCTTTTTTAAATGCTAATGTGAAGTTCTGGTATTTATATAAAATCTGTTTTCTGTCAGAACAGTTCTGTACTACCTAGTCCCTTCAAAACACAAGCTGCAGAAGAATTTGGCATCCTGAAAACCTTTGAAAATAAAAACAGCAACAAAATAAAGGAAGTTGCCAATTTTTATGGTGCGGAGAACAGCTTGGATGCATGTGGGCAGACAATGGGTGAATACAAGGAATTGACTGTGTGATCAACTATGGGCAGGTGGGAAATAATACTGGTATTTGGAAGGCATCTGGATCATCTAGCTTTTTACTGAGATGAGTACAGGGTCTAAAAAGATGCATGTAAATCTAAAGAAATCATAGCACCTGCTGTTGTTTTTTTGGAATATTAGGTGAAAGCTTAATACTTAAGTTAAATGACATTCAGCAGAAAAACAAAACACATGTATTAATTCATCTATTAATAACAATATTTTAAGAATTAACATTTTTAAGGAAACAGGCCAAGTTCATATCATTAAAAACAAAAAAATAGTCAACCGTTTTGTTGCCTATATAATTTTTTCAGAGCCTTGGAATCAGGGAAATATTTCTGCCCTTATTTCCCAAAGAGACAGCTAAGGCAAGAGAGTAAAGTTAACAGGTAAATCAGTCAACCAATAAGCCAATTTGGGGTGGAAGTGATGGCTTCATTCTCACAGTTAGATGGTGCCGTGACCCAAGCTTTCCAAGATCCTAATTTTGGGATGATCTGATTTCAAGCTAATCCTTTGTGTGGTTTGTTTAGATTTCTCTTAATGTAACGTCTGAATCTAGGCTTTGTGGTTTATAAACCATGCTACATAGTCCAAACCTAGCCACTTGTACAGTACTTCATTCCATGAATCATTGCTAAATAAACCATAGCATAGCACAATGTGTGAATCTACTCTCACTTTAAAATAATCTGATGTAAAGCAGTTGATAAATGCAGAATTTTGCTTTTGAGGGGGGGGGCAGTGGGAGAGTAGATGTTTGTTCTGAACTTCTGCTTCCTCCCTGTCTTGTGATTACAGACCAGTTTCCCTATCTTGGTGCTCTCTAGATGTACTGGGTTACAACTGAAAGGATTTCCCAAAGGCATGGAAAGAATAAAAACCTGGTAAATGTCCAGTGCAGAACAATTTCAGAGGCTTGTTATTTAAAAATTAGCATTAAAAACGTAACATAAATGAAATGAGACATTCGCAACTCTGAAGGGGTTATTTAATAGTTATTTTTGATTGAGCAAGGACTAAAAAGCTAATGAAAAGCTTAATTATCTATCTGCAAGCTGAAAAAATATTCCAGAGGTAGTCAAATTCTTCTGGAATCCTACTTTAACTGAATTGTTTTGCTAATTACATTTTTATTTAGAACATATGCCTCTGATTATCAGATTTACAAGCTTTGTGGAACTTCTAGCTGCTGGGTGCCATCTAGTTCCAGAACTAATAGGCTCTTTGAACTCATCCAATACACCAACTATTATGCTCGAGTAACTAAAAAGATGCCTGTGTCCACCAAAGCTTTGTCTATAACCCAGAGGGAAGCTATGGCCCTTTGTCCAAGAATCTCAAATTGACAGAGCTGTTCAGAGATAATTTAGTAACATCTGGAAGGCCATAAATCCCATGCCTCTGTAGAGAGAAAGGTAAAATGAGGAGTTGCGCTATTTGAAACCAGACATTATGAACCTATTTATTTATTTATTTGTTTATTTATTTATCTATTTATTTATTTATTGGCTATATACCATGCATTTCTGCCAACGAATGGCACTCAGTGTTTCTAAGAATAAGAATAAAAACAATATTGAATAATTCAAGCACCATTAAGAACACAATAATAAACAACTGTACCACCAACTCAACACAGCAGCCAAAACCCACTTACACACCAAAGCACTACATAAGTAAAAACTTCTTGTGTGCCAGCAAAAAGGTGATTGAAAGGCAAACAGTCTGATCTTTTCAGCAGAGAGTTTCAATCCTGGGAGCAGCCACCAAGAGTCCTCTCTTGTGTTTTCATCAGACATCCCCAAAAACTCTTCCTTTGCATGTATGTACAGACACAAGTGTAGTTGTTTTGGGAAAGGGCAGAATCTTTCTCTGGCTTGGAATTTTGGAAGGAATTCAAGTTTCTGAAAGGTACAAATCCTTCCCAAGAAGTAAGATTTTGCAATTGTTCCAATAGAAACAAAAATCTCTATATGTACTTGGCCTACTTATCAAAGGGTAGCTGATAAATGACACTCAGAGAAAAGCGGAATGACTCCAGGAAGCCCAAATTGTTGATGGCTGGTACCTGAGTGGCTGATGCTATTGGAAAATAGAGTGTATGGAAGAAGGAGGCGGCAAATTTGATCCTAGAAGACATCAATTTGTCTGAAGAAGACCAAAAAGAAAAGTCCAGGAAGAGAATGATGTGGGACAGCCAAGGAAAAAGCTGAATCATTGTAGGGCTAATAGGAAAAAAAAATCAGTCAGCTGAGATCTGTGCGCAAACAAAGGAGAAACAGTCTACCTACTGACATGAGTGTTGCAGTTGACTTTTTCATCTAGAATCTCCAGGAGAGAGAGAGAGAGCCGCAGATCTAAAATATGAGTGAATAGGCTAAGAGAATACTGCATAAAGATAAAATGAATGCAGTTTAGAGAGAAGGAAAAGAAACAGCCCTTGAGGAATATAAACGGTAATATTTGAACTCAGGTCTTTAAAAGGCAACACAGAGAGTCCTATAGAAACATTAAAGGGTTTGTATTAAAATATAGGGTGAAAATAAATCAGGCATAGGTAATGACTTGCGTTAGAAAAATCTAAGTGCCGTCTGTGTATTCCTGAAGCAGTAGAATTATGTAAGGGTGAGGCTTTTCCTACTTGCCTGAATCATTCAAAATGGACCCAGGACAGTGGGATTATGAAAAGGTTGTTCTGCAAGATCAAAAGACTGATCTTTAAGCCGGAAGAGTGTCCCCAAAAAAGTCCAAAAATGTAATAAAATTCTTTCCCTCTTCAATCTCATGTCGCCGTCTTCCCATGTAAACGAAGCCTTCTCCAAACCAAACATTATTCCTGTTGTCACAGCTATACATCTTGGTTAGGTGAAATATTCTGTTCACAGCAAATGGGTCGTCAGGTCCTTCAGGAAACCCACAAGGGAGCATGGAAAGAGTGGTCCCTTTGCAGTTGGTATGCTGGGGATCAGCATAGTTGGGATAGTATTTTTGTTTTATGGTGGATAACAGAGTTTACCTCTTCATAGAAATGCAAAGGATGAAGCTGCAACGTAGTGACCATCACCACATCTTGCAATATTTAATCCTGTTAATAATTTCTATGTTTTATGAATAAATTTTTCTCTGGCCTCTGCCTCACAGAATCATTTCATCCCGATCCATCCATTCCTCGTTGCCACAAATAGAGGGGAAAAAAGGGAGCATTTTCTTTTTAAACTGGTCGACTTCTAAAGAGTTGGAAGCAAGACTTTACTTACTTCCCCCCACTCTTGCTTTTTAGAAAGTGAAACACTTCAGTGAACTCTTTATCAGTGATTACATTAGTTGTTGCTCTTGAAGTGCAGTGAGAAAATCCCAACTTCATGCCTCTGTACTTAGGTGTTTAAGTTCTGCAGGCTTGAAAAGTTTCAAGAAGAATTCTAGGAAGTAGCCAGGATGTTCCAAGGATCCTGAACAGAAATAATGTTGTGCCATGGTGCTGCTAACCATGGTTTGTTTCCTTAAAGGCATGAACTTGCAAATGACCTATATATGAGAGAACACTTGTAAAAAAGCAAAAGTGAGCCGTGAAATTTTGTATAAGGTAGACAAGAGGAGGATGAAAGCATCCCTTTCCCAATGTTTTAAAATGACTAGAATATATTATTCTACCTTTATTTATACATAACACAAAGCCATAATATGGCTTGTTTGTTTTTGGTTTATGGCAATGCTGGGCAGCTTTTGCATGATCTGTGGCTTCTTTTAAATTTGGAGGTAGTTTACAGCTTTAACAAGCTACTTAAACCTACAAGATGAGTAAATGTATATCATGAATGTGTGAATAACTAAGTTCCCCTGCCCTCCGCCCCCAATTTTTCAAGGGGATTTTTAAGAATCTGTTAAGCCTATTTTGGAGCTCATAGAATTGTTTGTGTGTTTTCTACATCAAGCTAGTGAGAAAGTGTGCTGTGAAATAGGCCTGGAGTACACCCCCCCCAAAAGGGGGGGTTAGACCAACATGTAGTCTTGGAGCCACAAGTTTGTCAGTATCTCATTTAATGTGACAAGTAACTTATATTTTGAATTACCTTTATATTTGAACACATGGTTCAAACGCATTGTATCAGTACAATGATTAATATAAATTCTGATTCAGACTGAGTTCTTATAGCAGCTGTCTATTACAGGGGGTCCCCAGCCCCTGGTTTGCAGCCTGGTACTGGGTTGCAGGCCATTGGGAACTGGGCCACGCAAGGAGAAGTTCTGTTCGTGCAAGTGGCGAGGACGCACCCAAAACATCCCCTCTCTCCCCTGCCGCCACCAGTGGGACTGCTGATTCATTAGATGTAGCCCCCATCTTACTCCAAAACAACTTTCAGCTGCTCATGATATCACACAACAAAATAAAACCACACCACTATGTCATAAAAACAAATGGAATGGAATCAGACCACTTAATATGTAATATGTACAAAGACTCATTCAAAAAGGGGGTCACCTCCATCTTAACTTTAGCTAAGCCAAAATCTGGCTTCCTATTTATAATATGATACTATCCTAGCCAGTATAAGTTATAAGCCATTGTTTTGGGTTAGGTATGTTGCATGAGGCAAATCACTGGTAACTTTTCAGCAAACCATAATTAAGCAAACCAACTTTAGTTTTTGTGTAAATTCAGCCTCTGTTTGAGGGATTGCTCAAATTAGGGTGTCTGAAGAAGTTGTCTTTGAATGTTGTAGGTTTTTAGCTTCCAAAATTCCTTACCAGCAGGAATCATTAGGATCATCTGAAATGTAATCAAAGCTCTCTCCGGGACCTATTTCCTTAGTACAATCAGTATTCAGCTCACAAATAGATTGGCACATCTGGCAGCTAATACATATACAAAATTCTGTGTGTGTAGGATATTTTTGGTAATATGAGAGAATTATAATGACTCCAAGCATCGGCTTGGTATTGACTCTGTCTGAGAAGAGTCTAACAGGAGACACTGTAATGGTGGCACAGAAAAATCTTTACAGATAGCTGCTGAGTTTGCTCATGAATTTCCCTTCCTGGGTTCATTTCCTGGAGATAATTCTGACAAATTTCAGTGTCACTCTGGTCACACTTGACTATACTCAGTTTTATCCATAGCCATCCACCTTCTTAATTTCATCACACAATGAAGCTCCTGAAGGTTACTTGTTGTTGGTGGTTGTCATGCAGCACTGATGTGAAACAAAAGGGGGGGAAACCCTTTCTTGCCTGGTTTATGTATTCTTCCCTTACATGGAATAAATTGTTCTTTTGTTACGCGTGGCCAGATATTGGGTATACGTAAAATCAAGTGGAGCATTGATTGAATATTCTGTGCAATGTAACACTTCGATGGGCTAAGTTTTGTTTACTGTTGATGACACTG